GTTTTCTTCGACTGTAGTCCAGGTCCAGGTATGCGCAAATTCTACAAACCAGAACAGGCTCCAAGAAAACGCCCGAGGTCCTGTCCAGATCCTTGACTTTCTTGGCGACATCCTGAAGTGTGTGATAGATGTATGCGCCCTCCTTGGAGGCGCACGTCCGATTCGCACATACGGCACAGGCATATGATACAGAAAGCGCCCGCCACCGAGCATGTACTACAATGTTTCTAAGCGCGCGTCGCCCTCGGTGGGCGATGTCGACACAGGGAAGCGCTGGAAAAAAAACGGAGAGGGGAGTTGGCCGACACTCCTTCGGTGAGCTCCCCCCCGAGTGACCGATGGTAGCCCCTCGCAGCGGCAGAGCACGGAACGGAGCCACGTGTTGCGCGATAACACAGGGAACATGAGATCAAGAAAGCCCAGTGGAGTCCGCAGCTCCAAGGAGGCGCAAGGCGCGCCGAAGCAAGAAGCAGGGGAAGGAGGAGCCAAAAGCCGTAAAGGATGGAGGCAGGAAAGCCGGGCGGGGTGGCGAGCCGAGGCCGCGAACTGGCTCGAGCCTGGGGGCAGGGCAGGAGCGGAGCTCCACAGATACAGCAGATGTTGATGTGTACGGTCTTGCTTGTCTGCCGCGGCTCCTGTACTTCACGTCCTGGATGGACTGGCAACTGCTGCCTGTCTCAGTAGCGCGGTTCCCTCTCTACATCTACCTGCATGTGTATACAGGTGTGTGCGTATACCATATGTGTACACACATGTTATGAATATAGCACTGCCCACACCCACACACACACACACCTAACCGTAGACACGAATATACATATATATAGATATATATATATATATGTGTGAAACCATACACGCCTACAGCTTGGCGTATCTCGATGCGTGTCCTATCCAACATTATACTGGTAATGGCCTGACCGAACACTAGAGGCAGCGCAGGGGACGCAGTGCTCAAAACAAGTCACATGGTATCAGCGTTCGATCGTCATGAAAACGTACTGTGCATCTCAAGGTCTGTCAGTTACCCCTTTTTAACTGTTTGTGCACCAAGCCTGCTTCCAACCATCATTATTTCATGTTGTTGTCCTGAAGGCGGCATTATTGATGTGAATGTGTCTTGACCATGAGAAGAAAGACGTCCCACTCCTCCGCTTTCGGGTGAGCTTGTCCGAGCTGCACTGGAAACGTGGCACGGTCGCCTCTTCGACCGCCTTTTCCGATTCCTCCGAACACTCAGCGTGCGCAATGCGGTACCAACCGCCCTCTTGTTCAAAAAATCCACTGAACAACCTCTTTGCAACGCTTCTTTGATTCTTTCCTCCGAACAACCATTTTCTAGTTCATCAGCGGTCTCGGTCACAGTGCGGCCGTTTTCATGAGAAAATGCTCGCCCCATCACCATGTCGTGCAACAAGTCCGATACGTACTCCTGTTGTGTTTCTGGTGTGTACCGAACTGTCCTATAACATCTGCCCATCGAAGAATATGCATTGAAGCCGCAGTCCTTTGATAACCGAAGCCTCCTTTGCACGTGCTTTCATGGTCTGCCGTAGACGCTATCATTCCGCCCACTTCGCCACTGCCTGAGGCCACGTTGGAAACGTAGATAGATGGACAGCGCTCCCCCGTTTGAAGAACATGTTGCAAATCGTTGTCCAGTCCGTATATGGTTGTTAATACGTTTGCACACTCATTTTCTCGAAGACCTCCTGCTAGTTACTTAACACTCGAATTATGAGTCACGTCCTCTCCTACGTTTTTCACCGCGAAAAGCCACCGCAGAGCAGCCTCTCGCACATCCGCCAACAGTGCGAAACCATTCGCACTGCCACTAAAATCGTGCAGCAACGCTGGCACAATGGAGGGAGGCAGGGACGAAAGGGAGGAGGCAAGCGCTGATGAGAAAACGCCCAGATCCGTATCATCTACGGTCAGCAACTTTGGCACAGCGTGTCGCCGCAACGGCCCCAGCGACACACAATGCCCTACAAGCGGATACCGTGTCGCTCCGCTCCACGGGGCGGGAGGCTCGGAAAGGCTCGGGACGTGACGTTGAAGCCTGGGCACTGGTTCCTCACCCTGTCGATGCCGATGCTGGGTGGGGAACCGCGTCGCCCCGCTGAGCCGCTCGCCGCCCGCCGCTCGCCGCCGCCCTCGCTTGCGCCGGAGCCCTCGCCGCTCGCCGCTCGCCGCCGCCCTCGGCGCTCGTCGCCGCTGAGCCGCTCGCCCGCGCTCCGCCCCAGGGGCCTGCGGCTGAGCGCCCGCCGAGCGCCGTCTGCCGCCGCCGAGCCGCAGACGGAGCCGCCGACCCGCCTCGGCCGCGAAGCTGACCTGCCGGCGCCCACGCCCGCTGCCGCCAGTCGCACCAGCTCCGTCCGAGGCAACAGGGCCGCCCCTCGGCGAGGGAACGAGGCCGGAGACCGCGCCCGAGTCGTCCCAGGGAGACGGCCCACGCAGGGCCAGGCAGTGGCGCCGGGGAGCCCATGCACCGCACCGTGCTTGGACTCCCTTCGGGCCCCGCTCCCACGCCGCAGGGTGCACGGCTGGTCGGCTCCGAGGGGCCGAGGGTCGACGACGCCTCGTGCGACGCCACCGCGGTGCGCTGCACACGCAAGTCTTCCGCGGAGAGGGGCCGAGGGGAGCCCTCGTCCGCGAAGGCGGGGGTCTTGAGCCGACGTGGGGCGCGGAAGAGGGAGGGCCCGAGCCGCGCCACGAAACAGCACGGAGAGGGAGGGGAGGAGGGAGGGAGGGAGGGAGGGAGGGAGGGAGGGAGGGAGGGAGGGAGGGAGGGAGGGAGGAGGAGGTAGGTAGGAGGAGGAGGAGGAGGAGGAGGAGGAGGAGGAGGAGGAGGAGGAGGGAGGGGAGGGCTAGAATTGCGGGGGTTGGAAGCTGCACGAGAGAAAGCATGGCGGCAATGAGATGTAGACTGTGGGGCTGTTTACGCTTCATAAGATAAGTAGATATGCGCCGACGCTCGAGCCAAACGGCGGCGACCCCTCCAATTTGAGTGAGGAGAAGGAGGAAGGAGGAAGGAGGAAGGAGGAGGGAGGGACAGGAGGACAGTGAGGACGATGAGGAAGAGCATGAGCAATAGCACAACATGATGGCGATACTAGAACAAGCAAGGCTACAAGAGTGCGAGGGCGATCGACACCTAGAGGCAAGCAGAGGTAGGTGAAGAACGACACACAGGAGGGACGAGGTGCAGGTAGGAAGAGGACGAGGAGTAGACACCCACCATCGGTTCGAGCGCGTGCGCAGGACACATGCCTCCTGCCCTCACGCCTTGACGGCGGCGGGGGCCTCCACGTCCTGCTTGTTGGGGAGCAGCGGCTCCGTCTCCTTCTTGTCCGGCTTGGCGGCCGCGAGCCCGCAGTAGCTCTTGTAGAAGAGGCCGCCGAAGACGAGCAGCAGCCCGATGGCCTGGAGCCCGTTGAGGCTGTGATGGTACGTGGCGTACGACACCAAGATGGAGATCACCTGCCGCAGGTTCATGGTGGCCGCGAACACCAGGGCACCGAACTCCTTCACCTGGGAGTAGATGAACCACTGACCGCCCACGGCCGCGGCGCTCAGCGTGAGGGCGTCGCGCATGATCGCCGGGTGCGCGCCGCAGAAACGGAAGGCCTCGCCGGCCTTCTGCGAGGCCATCAGCGTGATGAAAGAGACGACGCAGGAGAAGCTATTGACGTAGAACATTTGGTTGTACTTCGTGGTGCTGTGTTGCTTGAACAACTTCTCCTGGAAGGTCGAGGTGAAGCCGTCGAGGCCCAGGAAGAGCAGGAGCAGGAGCAGGCCATGCGCACTCGTGCCAGACGAGTGCTTGGCCTTGATGCTTCCGGTCATGAGGAACTCGGTCACGCCGCCAGTGACGGCCGCGGCGACAGCCCAATCCCTCCAGCCGTAGCTCTTCTGCGAGATGATGATGCCCCAGATCATCACGGGCATCATCTTGAAACTCTTGCCCAGCATCTGCACGGGGAAGGACACGTACTTGAGAGCCTCATACTGGCACCATGTCGCACCGACGTTGGACAGAGAGATCGCGCAGTACTTCCAAAGCGGCGCCATGTTCTTCACCGCCTCCCCCTTGCCGAACATCATTCCCGAAGCGAAGCAGACGGCCACGAGACGGTTGCACAGCACAAGGAACACGGAGACCTTGAAGATGTCCCCAGCCTCGCCGTAGGGCTCCGACATGATGCGCTCCTGAAGGAGCCCGTACACGAGCAGGCATCCGATGATGCCGGCGGCGTAGATCGACCCCCAGAGCGCGGAGACCCACATGCTCGCCGGCTGCTCTGTCATCGTGAGTGCGCTATCTGGCTGTGGATGTCCGTGTGTGGTTCTGCACACGGAAAAGCAACCGTGCAGGGGGCTATGTACGTATGCGGAGTGTCAGGGAGCCTCGAGGGGAAGGAGCGCGACGGAGGAGGAGCCCCACCCTCTTCCCTGCTTCTTGCGGTTCCTCTCACCTATCTCTGCTTTTCCCAAGCGCCTGCCGCTCGCCCTGCCTCCACCCTGCCGGCACTGCCGCCGACTCTTCCGACCTGCTCCTGCACCCTCCCCACGCCAGCGCACCTCTCGCACATCCTCGGCGGCGAGCGAGGGGGGGAAGTGAGAAGGAGAAGCAGAGGCCCTCCGGCCTTCCGAGAGGTCTTCTGCGTCTTCGGGGAAGGCTTAGAACACCTCTCGGGAGGCCGAGGGAATCCCGAGCCTTCTGAGAAGGCCATCCTCCTCGCTTCCTCCCCACGCCGGCGCCCCTCCCGTACATGCCGCCGTGCCGCCGCCAGCCTGCGCTTGCTGACTCACCGCCCCCACCTTGCTAGCCTCTGGCAGCGGAGGGAGCGGGCGGCTGGGCCCCCACTCCGAGAGGAGCACGAGGAGGAGGACGCCCCGAGGCGGGCCCCCGATCCCCCTTCTCGCGAGGGTGGGGCCCGCACTCGGGCCCCATCCTGAGACGACGAGAGAAAATCGGACCACTATAGGTTGGAAGCCTCGCTGTTCCCTCAATGTTGTCATTACTCATACTCGTGATATTGGCGCGCTTCTGCACGTCATTGCCGCTGCTGCGATCATTAGCCTTGCTAACCTGATCCTCATTGGTGAGAGTTCTACGGCTCGTACTATCATCACCTGATTGGCGCTTGCTCCCGCACCCCTGGCGTTGGCCAGGGGTGAGGCCAACCGATGGCGCCAATCCACGGAGAGAACCGCCGCCATCGCAGATAGCAGGAGGAGGGAGAGGTCCGCATGCGGAGCAAACGAGAGAACGATGCGGAGGAAGTGCAAGACCACAAGCAGGAAGAAATGTGGAGGAGGAGGAGGAGCGTAGGGAAAAACTAGAGACAACATGTCAGCTCGCGCCCCAGTTGGCACAAAAGCAAGGCCGAAAGCGTGAGCAAGGACAGGATCCACCACCGTGTCTGCACGGAGTGGGCGTGTCAGAACGCTCGTTTGTTGTTCGGGAGGTTTTGTGAAGTTTTTTTAGGGGCCCACCCCTCGACGCACGCGCCGCTCAAAAATCGCCCGTTCTGAAATTACGTTCTTGCGGCCGTTTCGGTCTCCAGACGTCCAAGATGGCCTCCCAGACGGCTTCCAAGACAGCCAAGACGGCAACAAAACGGCTCAAGATGGCCCAAGGCAGCTCAAGAGCCTCTCAAGAAAGCCTCAAGACAGTTCAAGATGGCCCAATGGAGCCCTCAGACGGCCCAAGAGGCCCCCAAGACGGCCCGAGAGAGCTCCAAG